TTATTACAAAATAATGGCATATTTCCCTGTGCTGTATAATATATCCTTGTTGCTTATTTATTTTATACATAGTAGTTTGTGTCTCTCAATCTCATAGCCCTGTCTCACCCTTCACCTTTTCCCTCTCCCCACTGATAACCACTAGTTACTAGTTTGTTCTCTATGTCTGTGAGTTTGTTTCTGTCAAAAACTCCTCCTTTAATTAATAAATATAACTTAGAAAATTTTGTGATATAATGCAAATGGTTTTTTAATCCAGTTGAACTTTCTCATATCAGTTATTTAAAAATAATGGTGAAGATTTAATTTATATAACATGTATGTGTTGTTAGAGCCATGATGCAGGCTTGGCTGATACTAAAAGGGCCCATCAGCTGCACAGGGATAGAATTAGCCAATATATGTGAAGATAAGGATTGGGGGCTGTTTCTTAGAGCCACAAGCCTCCTCAGTCTCAACACTGGATTGTATATTATGTTCCATGGGCATGTGGAACACGAACTATTCCAGTGGCTCCATGGATTCCTTGTCCGTGATAAGCAGTGGTGCATTTGATTTCTGGCTTCTGAAATAGGAGCCCATGTGGTAGATCACCTTCATGGCAAGTGTGGAGCAGTGGGTACCTGATAGCATTTGCTGTGCTTGCCACCTGTGTGACCAAGGGGCTTGCCATCAGATCCTGTACTGCTTTGAGCCTCCTGCTAGGAAGCCCTGGAATAGTTGCGTTTTGCTGCCCAACCTCGACCTGGCCACACTGAGAAATGAGAGCATCAGTATTTTCGGATGCCCCTGTAATCCATTCACATCATACCTGTGTCCAGTGGGTGAGGATTCCTGAGTTAGGGAAGTTCCAAATGTCAATTAAAGCATTATTTATTCCTGACAGATGACAATTGGAAAAAGGAGATTCCATGATCCAGTAAATTTGGAAAATGCTGCATTAAAGTTAACAAGTTTCTTTAGAATGTCTCAAAGACTTTTAAAATTTTTATTTATTTTAATTTTTGGATATGTTGGGTCTTTGTTGCTGCGCACGGGATTTCTCTAGTTGTGGCGAGCGGGGGCTACTCTTTGCTGTGGTGCACGGGCCTCCCACCATGGTGGCCTCTTCTGCTGCAGAGCACAGGCTCCAGGTGCTCAGGCTTCAGCAGTTGTGGCACACGGGCTCAGTAGTTGTGGCACGTGGGCTTCAGAGCGCAGGTTCAGTAGTTGTGATGCACGGGCTTAGTTGCTCCATGGCATGTGAGATCTTCCTGGACCAGGGTTCGAACCCGTGTCCCCTGCATTGGCAGGCAGATTCTTAACCACTGCGCCACCAGGGAAGTCCGAAAACTATTTTAAAATGTTAATTCTTTCTCGGCATATAGCTTCATTGCAATACGCAATAAAACTCCCAATGGTGTTTTATTTGGAATTTCTAAATTTTATTTGGATTTCTAAATTTCATTAGGAAGAATACACGGGTGAGAATATTAAAGAACATTCCTAAAAAGAAGACCAATAACAGTGGTAATAAGTAAAATAGGATGGTAATGATGTAAGACTAGAAATGCAATTCAGAATGGAATTGATAGAATAGACAATCAATAGAACTAGTCTCCATCACATAGAGGATTATAACACATTATAAAGTAGGAGGAAAGAACTCAAGTGCTTAGTAAATTAGAAATTACTAAAATAAGATTAGAAATTAATCTTTCACTTTGAATCATGACAAAATAACTTTCAGATGGATTTAAGAGTAAGTGTATTTTTAAATTGTAGAAGAAAATAGAATTGAGTATTCACCAAACCTATAGAAAAAGGATGATTTTCTCCCTCTTTTGGTGGTCCTTTCAAAGGATATGTTTCTAAACTTTAAAGGATGAGAAGAAATCTTAACAGATGTGACTAAAATAAAAATAAAAGATAATGTACTTAAAAAATAATCTTAAATTTAAAAAGCAAACATCAGCTTTGTGCAATGGCAGTATTATAACCAGTGAGATTTTCCCACGGTACTATTAAGACTAATAAGAGCCTTCCCAATATCTAACACAAATTCAACTTATTGTATTTCAGCGAGATAATAAGACAAATGCACAAAGACGAATTGGGAAGAATGGTTCACTCAAGAATTATTGTAAAAACAAAAAAGTTGGGAACTACTTAAATGTCTACAATTAGGGAGTTGGTTTAATAAATTATGATAAAGTTCTATAATGGAATATCAGCCACTAAAAATGATAATGTAATAAGTTTTTTTTGAGAATAAAAAGATGCTCACAGTTTATTGTTGAGTGAAAAATTAGATTAGAGGACAACATTAAGAGTAGTTAACTCTGCTTGGTAGGATTTGAAGTGGTTTTTACTTAGTCTAAACTTCTTTCCTTTTTTTTTTTTCTTCAGGAATCATGTGTGATTTTGGTGATCATAAAGGAGATGGAACTGTTTTCATTTTAGGAAAACAAATGAAAACAACTGACCTGGAAAATTGTTTTCAGTAATCATGACATAGGGTTAAGTCTTTATTATTTAAAGAGCTCATACAAATTGTTAAGAAAAAACAGAAGATCGCAGTAGGGATGAGCAGAGAACATGAACAGACAATTCATAACAGAAAATAGAGGTGGTAAACAAGCATAAAGGATCATTATTTAGACTTACTTGTAAGCAAAGAGCTGTAAATTTAAATAATGAGATAACATTTACTTGCTTATTAAACTAGTAGAAGTTTGCTGCCATGTTATTTATTATAATAAAGAAAAATTAACATTATCAATAAATTGTTACATTCCTTTGGTACTGTTCAGAATTGAAGGTTATGTTGCAACCTGGAAAAATAAAACATTTCAGTGAAGTAGTTAGGAGAATGAATGGTAGTTATAAAAGGTTGTGTACGAGGAAAGGAAAATACAGCAAAATGTTATGTTAGTGGTTATGTTAGGGTAAAGAGAATATATTTATAATTAAAATAATTATCTAAACTCATACTTAATCTCTCTCTTTCCACTTTTTCTAGAAAAGCTATTTGTTTTTCAAATAGTAAGCACAATATTCTCTCATCTAGAATATAGCAGGGCTTCCCTGGTGGCGCAGTGGTTGAGAGTCCGCCTGCCGATGCAGGGGACGCGGGTTCGTGCCCCGGTCCGGGAAGATCCCACATGCCGTGGAGCGGCTGGGCCCGTGAGCCATGGCCGCAGAGCCTGCGCGTTCGGAGCCTGTGCTCCGCAACGGGAGAGGCCACAACAGTGAGAGGCCCGCGTACCAAAAAAAAAATAGAATATAGCAATATCCTCCTAACTGGTCTCTTTTCTTCCACCCTTGTTCCTTTCCAGGGTATTCTTAACATAATAGCCAAAGTGAATAGAAGCCAGACCATGTCACTTCGCTGCTTAGAACCCTCCAGTGGTTTCTCACCTCTTTCAAAGTACAAGACACCGTCCTTAAAGTAGCCTGCAGAGCCCTTATAGAATCTGTCCCCACCCTCAAACTCATACCTTTCTGACCTTATTTCCTACCATTCTGCCTTTCTTGTTCTCTCTGGCTAAAAACTCTTCCTGCTGATATTCACAAGGCTGGCGCTTTCTCCTCCTTCTGGTCTGTGCAGATGTCACCTTATCACTTAGGTAGGCCTTCCCAAACCACCATCCCATCCCATTCGCCCCTACCCACATTGCCAGCACCCATGTCCCTTCCCTGCTTTATATTTTCTAGCACCATTTGACTTACTGTGTATTTTACCAAGTGTGTATAAGCTTATGTATCTCCCCCACCATGCACAAAATAGCTCCACGGAGGCAGGAATTTTTGTCTATTTTGTTCCTTGCTCTAACTGTAGCACTTAGAATAGTGTGTAGTACATAGTAGGTACTCAATCAATATTTACTGAATAAATGACGTTTTAATTGTTTCATCTAAGTAAGTTTTAGTTTCAAAACTAGTTTGAAAGTTTTTTTTTTTTTTTTTGCGGTACGCTGGCCTCTCACCGCTGTGGCCTCTCCTGTTGCGGAGCACAGGCTCCGGACGCGCAGGCCCAGCATCCATGGCCCACGGGCCCAGCCGCTCTGCGGCATGTGGGATCCTCCCGGACCGGGGCACGAACCCACGTCCCCTGCATTGGCAGGCGGACTCTCAACCACTGCGCCACCAGGGAAGCCCAGTTTGAAAGTTTTTTGAGCGAGTGTAACATGTTGCTTTTGTATGCCTCCCACTCCCCAATTTCCATCCTCCTCAAGCATAGAGTAAAGCAAGACAGGTGGACACACTAGAGAAACACAATATCTGTGGCACTGGATTCCTTCTGCTTCTCAGGCTAGGATCTACCCAAACTGAGATGGAAGATAGGCTGGTGCTGGAAATGTTCTATATCTTGATCTGGGTGGTAGTTCAGCTCTGTGACTATATACATATATAAAAACTCAGTAAGCTGTATACTTGAGATAAGTGCACCTTTGGTACTTTCTTGTTTGTGTATTATGCCTCAGTAAAAAAGTTGTTTTAAAAACTCCGTCTTTGAGATCTCTAGAGGAAGTTAAACATGCCAAATGATACATTAAGAATATTGGGAGGCTTCCTGGGTGGCACAGTGGTTGAGAGTCCGCCTGCCGATGCAGGGGACACGGGTTCGTGCCCCGGTCCGGGAAGATCCCATGTGCCGCGGAGCGGCTGGGCCCGTGAGCTATGGCCGCTGAGCCTGCATGTCCGTAGCCTGTGCTCCGCAACGGGGGAGGCCACGGCAGTGAGAGGCCCGCGTACCGCAAAAAAAAAAAAAAAAGAATATTGGGAAGCGGGGAGAAAGGTAAATTGCAAACATCATAACATTTCACTCTTAAAGAGTTCAGCATGCCTCTCCTCTGCGTAAAGACATTCTCCTACAGAGCCTCTCCCCACCCCCCGCAATAAATAATATGAGGAAGGAGTTCTGCCATGTTCTTCCTTCCTAGAATTTCTAGTTATTGAAATTTTTGTTTTGAAGTTAAAGTTAAAAAAATAATTTTTATTTACTTTTTCTTTTGCAGAGATAGCGGTAGCAGAATTTCACAAAAAAATCAAAGAAGCTTTTGAAGTATTTGACCATGAGTCAAATAATACAGTGGATGTGAGGTTTGGAAATGTTTTCTTCTAATTCTAAATTGCTGATACAACTTGTAAAGTAGAGGAGGGTTCATTCTCTTCTTTTTACTTTCTTTGGACTTATTATGCTATTTAAAGTACTTATTTTTCTGTACCCTGTAAAAGGTCTTTTCTATCTGTTGCTTCGGATCTATACTGTTTATTATTCTTCATAATCTGGTGGAAAGAATATATATCCACATTGCCTATTCTAACCTACAGACTAAATTCTGTGAATGAGGCTAACTCTACTATAACTTTAGTACTAGACACATAGTTGGCACTCAGTATATATTTGTTGAGTGAATGAATAGAATTTGCTTTTAAAGTACATAGGTATGGGGACTTCCCTGGTGGCTCAGTGGTTAAGGATCCACTTGCCATTGAAAGGGACACAGGTTTGATCCCTGGTCCGGGAAGATCCCACATGCTGCGGAGCAGCTAAGCCTGTGCTCTTAGACCCTGTGAGCCACATTACTGAAGCCCACGTGCCTAGAGCCCATGCTCTGCAACAAGAGAAGCCACTGCAGTGAGAAGCACACACACTGCAAGGAAGACTAGCCCCTGCTCACTGCAACTAGAGAAAGCCCATGCGCAGCAATGAAGACCCAACACAGCCAAAAATAAATGAATTAAATAAATAAATTAAAAAAAATAAAATACATAGCTATGTATAATCAAGCTATGAACATGATATTATAAAGAAGGATTAATAATACTTAAACATGATACACTCCTTGAGTAAAATAACCAAAAGAACCAAAACAAAAGAACATAAAAAGATGAGAAAAAGACATGAATACTGGTAGATCTAGAATGGAGGACAGGAGACAAAGAATAGTGTGAAAAAAGAAGAGGCAAAAAGGTAGAGGAGATTATACATGCATAAAACAGAAGCTGTAGAATCTATGCCACATATGTACATCAAAGAAAGGCAATGAAACCATTGTTCCAGGAGACCAAGCTGAATGAGGAGTATTTGATGGGATCACAATCTCAAGAGTCAGAAACTAGTAGTACAGAGGCCAAGAAAACAGTTGGAAGTGACTAAGTGCTTTTTTTTGCCCCCCGCGTGGCTTGTGGGATCTTAATTGCCCGACCAGGGATTGAACCCAGCCCCTCGGCAGTGAAAGTACAGAGTCATAATCACTGGACTGCCAGGGAACTCCCAGGACTAAGTGCTTTAAATTTGAGCTAAACTGAATGAACAATAGGAGGTTTTATGTATGACAAATTGTAGCTACGATCGTCCCTTGGTATCTACAAAGGATTGGTTCCAAGGCACACCCCGACTCCTCCCTGACTCACCCCCAACCCCTCACCCCTCGAGGATATCAAAATCTAGGGATGCTCAAACCCCTTATAAAAAGTGGCATAGAATTTGCATATTACCTACCTACATCCTTCTGTATATTTTATTTTTTTATATATGAATTTATTTGTTTGTTTATGGCTGCATTGGGTCTTCGTTGCTGCACGCGGGCTTTCTCTAGTTGTGGTGAGCGGGGGCTACTCTTTGTTGCGGTGCATGAGCTTCTCATTGTGGTGGCTTCTCTTGTTGCAGAACACAGGCTGTAGGTGTGTGGGCTTCAGTAGTTGTGGCACGTGGGCTCAGTAGTTGTGGCTCACGGGCTCTAGAGCGCGGGCTCAGTAGTTGTGGCACTTGGGCTTAGTTGCTCCGCAGCATGTGGGATCTTCCTGGACCAGGGTGCGAACCTGTGTCCCCTGCAGTGGCAGGCGGACTCTTAACCACTGCGCCACCAGGAAGTCCCTCCCATATATTTTAAATCATCTCTGATTACTTATAGTACCTAATACAGTGTAAATGCTATGTAAATAGTTGCCTGTGGCATGTGGCAAATTCAGATTTTGCTTTTGGAACTTTCTGGGGTTTTTTCTCCCAGTATTTTAGATCTGTGGATGGTTGAATCTTTGGATGTGGAACCCATGGATACGGAGGGCTGACTGTATATGTATTCCTTAGTTTCTCACACCTGAAGGTACAAGGTGTGATTACAGGAAAGGAGAGTGATAAGTGCAGTCAGTTTCATTACTTTATAGTAACACCTTACAAAGTTTTGTTTGGTACTCAACTATGTTCATGGGCTTTACTGCAGTGGATAAGGTAGAGAGTGGAGTTAACTTCCAGCACTGCAACTGTAGTCGGCCTTGTGGGAGGCTTGGCTCAGCCATTGCCAGGGAAGTGTGAGGGTAAAGTGCAGGGCTGAGCACTGCACAGCTCGAAGTGGCGCCAGCCTCACTGCATGCATTGTCAATGACACTCCGCAGTGTGAGTATCCTAGCGGGAAACCCGGTGGGACAGTAGTGGTGGTTGATAGGGTTTGGGATGGGGTGGGGAGCTTGCAACTCTTGCCTGCAATTTGAATAAATATATGGATGGCACGTGCCTTTACCTCAGACCTCTCACTGGAGCGGAAGGGTTCTCCTGGGGAAGGAGAGGAGAGGTATTGTCAGAGAAGTCAGGGAAGTGCAAGAAGAACCAGGATAGCTTTATGAAAGAGAGGGGGAACAGAGAAGGGAAACCAGCATTTACTCAAGCCTTGCTCTCTGACGTCTCCCTATAGTTGGGTGCTAAGGGTTTTTGTGTACATTACCTCATTTTAGTCTTTTTATTGGTACAGTAAGGGTTGGCATCTCCAGTTTTTGGAGACTCGGAGAAGGTAAATAGTTTGCTTAAGGTCATGTCAGCGTTTCTCTAATTCGGTGTCTTGCTGGGCTGTGTCGCCCCTTCCCTCCCTGCTCCCCTCCACCCCACCCTTCATGGATTTCATGGGCTCATCTCCTGCTTTGAGGCTTCCTGAAAGTAGCAGTGAAGAGAAAATTTCCCAAATCCCTGATGCCAGGCCTTTTTTTTTTTTTTTTTTTGCTGTGTTGGGTCTTCGTTTCTGTGTGAGGGCTTTCTCTAGTTGTGGCAAGCGGGGGCCACTCTTCATCGCGGTGTGCGGGCCTCTTACTATCGCGGCCTCTCGTTGCGAAGTTCAGGCTCAGTAGTTGTGGCTCACGGGCCCAGCTGCTCCGCGGCATGTGGGATCCTCCCAGACCAGGGCTCGAACCCGTGTCCCCTGCATTAGCAGGCAAATTCTCAACCGCTGCGCCACCAGGGAAGCCCCAGGCCTTTTTTTGATAGAAGGGCCAATTCAGGGGAAACAAACATGTTTAGGGGTTGCATCTTTTACCCATTCAGAATTAAAATAATTGTACTGAGGCCCCGAGGAAAAGTGTATGTTCTTAAAATGTCTACTTTATAAAATAAAATTACTAAGAAAATTGGCATTGTTTTTAGCACTAAAATATTAATGATAAGCGTATCTGAGTGGTAGGAACATGGATGAATGCAGTTTCTATACTCCTTCTGCTAATTTGTATAGCACTTTAAAGTTTACAGTGAGTGTTCTCATGCTGCAGGTATCATTACTATCCACTCTTTATAAGTCAGAAATTAAGGACCAAGAAGCACAATGACTTGCCCAAGATCGAATAATAGACTAGCCACAGAGTTGAAACTCAAATTAGTTTCTTCTCTTTGGGGCAGCTGTGCCGCAGCCCTGGAAGAGGCCTGGGAATGCAGTGCTGAATAAGGTCTGGTCCTGCCTTGCCCAGCCTTAGCAGGCTCCTCTATTTGTAAAAACAGTTCATCTAGCTAGAATTTATTTTGGCATATGATTAAAAGTGAAGGTCTAAATAGATTTTTTTTCAAATTGCTGAACAGTTCAGTTTATTTACTTCTTGAATTATTAGATCCACTTTATAATGTACTGCATTTTCTATAATTGAGTCTAATTTAGGCTATGTGTTCTGATCTATTGCCTTACCTCCTGATCATATATACTAGGACAGTCCTATATTAATTGCTATCAATTTATAGTATGCTTTACTATCTGATAGAACTAGTCTCTTTATTAGTCTTCTTTTTGAACATTTTAATTAAGAATTGAAGGCAGTATTCTGTGTAGATTGAATGGTGTAAGGAGGGGTCTGAATGGGGTAAGAGTTCCAGAGACAGACATAATAGCTCCGTTTGGAAGAGACAGCTGTTCTTGAGAAGCTTCCAGGGCATTTGGCTATTCCTGCCCTAATGTGCTTGATCCTTCAAGTGATGCTGTTTCCCTTGAAGGGCAGACCAGCACCCCTTACCTCTGCTTGGCATGAATTAAAAGATTTAATTTGAAATTTTAGCACATTAGGTGGAGTGGAGGTCTGGTATTGTGACTGCCAGGCAGCCAGTGGGTTTTTTTTTAATCATTATGTAAAACATTATGAAATGGGCCCCTGCTGCTTTCCTCCTGGCTCTGAGGGGCAACCCTGGGGATTGGAATCAGACTTTCTGGGTTCATTCCTAGCTTTGTGACTGTAATTGATTTATTCTCTCTGTGCCTCAGTTTTTACATTTGCCACATAGGATTGATGTAAGTAAGTAGTTCTCAAAATGGTTTGTATACCCCTGTGTATCCACAGGACTCTTTCAGGGGTCTGTGAAATCAAAACTATTTTCATAAAAATCTGAGACAGTATTTGCTATTTTCATTCTCATTTTTCACAAGTTATATTGGAGTTTTTCAAAAGCTACATGTGTGATATTGTAACAGATTGAATGCAGAACCAGATATGAGAATCCAGCTGCCTTCTGTTAAGCCAGACCTTAAAGAGATTTGCAAACATGTAAAACAGTGCCATTTTTCTAATTAAATTTATTTTTTGTTTTGGAAAATATAGTTATTTTTCATAAAAATTTTATTTATGTAGGCATATAATGGGTTTATCATTATTTCTAAATGAATTAGTAAATAAATATTTTTAAACTTTGAGGTGTACTTTTTAGTATGGTAAATATAGATAAATATAACTCACACAAACAAAAGCTGTTTGTGGGTCTGAATAATTTTTAAGCATGTAAAAGGGGTTCTGAGACCAAAAAGTTTGAGAACAGCTGTTGTCAGTGGACATTTTTAAAGCTCTTAGAACAATATTAA